GAAGGCGGTAATGGCTTGCCTTGTTGCCGCCTTTTCCGCCCTGCACGCGCTGCACTCGTGAACGCGTAGGGTTGGCTCGCCTTCCCACAGCCCCATCTCCATGAGCAGCTGCTTTCCTCCTTTCGGCAGGCCGATGAGAACGGCGGTGGGGCCAGTCGCCTTGACCTCGTCGCCCTTCTTGAACTTCCCGAGGTTCTTGCCGTTCTTCTTGGATTTCTTCACCGGCAACCCCTTCTCCTCCGCCTCCTCTGCCGCTTTCTTTTCCGCCTCGAGCTCCTCCTCCGTTTTCGGGGCAAACACGTTCGTGGTGAAACGGAGCTTGTCGCCGACCCTGAAGGTGGTGTGCACGGGGTTCTTCCCCTCGTCGTCCTCGCAATTGCGAAGAGCGCCCTGCGCTCCCCCTGGCCTCAGGGCAATGTGCTCACCCACCAATGCGCCGGCGCCGAACGCCGAGTACCCGGTAGAGTTGTCGAAGACCATGAACAGCTGCCGGTGTGGCTCGCTTGTCAGCTCGTGGATGGCGATGAGCCCCGGAATTCGCTCCAACATCCGTGCGCAGTTCCAGTACCCGTCTTGGTGTTGCCCTACAGTCATGATGACCGCCGCCGTGGAAGGGTCGTTCTTCGTTTTCTTCACCTGGCAGGCGCCGGGAATCCCTTTCAGCAGCTCGACGGCATCCTGCACGAGCTTCACGGCATGGCCGTCCTTCCCCTCGCCCTCTTTCCTGCCGAAGTAGATCCCGGAACGCTCGTAGCGTCCGGGAAACACCCGATGCGTCGGCGCCTCCCCGTCCTTGAAAGCCGGCCGCGCGACCTCAACCGGGTTCTCCTTCATCTTCGACCACGTTCATGTCTTCCTGCATCATGCCCCAGGCCTCCTTCCCTATCGCTGCGACCCCTCTATCCACCCCAATGATGTCAGAGATGTGCNGCTTTCTTTTCCGCCTCGAGCTCCTCCTCCGTTTTCGGGGCAAACACGTTCGTGGTAAAACGGAGCTTGTCGCCGACCCTGAAGGTGGTGTGCACGGGGTTCCCCTCGTCGTCCTCGAAATTGCGAAGAGCGCCCTGCGCTCCCCCTGGCCTCAGGGCAACGTGCTCACCCACCAATGCGCCGGCGCCGAACGCCGAGTGCCCGGTAGAGTTGTCGAAGACCATGACCAGCTGCCGGTGTGGCTCGCTTGTCAGCTCGTGGATGGCGATGAGCCCCGGAATTTGCTCCAACATCCGTGCGCAGTTCCAGTACCCGTCTTGGTGTTGCCCTACAGTCATGATGACCGCCGCCGTGGAAGGGTCGTTCTTCGTTTTCTTCACCTGGCAGGCGCCGGGAATCCCTTTCAGCAGCTCGACGGCATCCTGCACGAGCTTCACGGCATGGCCGTCCTTCCCCTCGCCCTCTATCCTGCCGAAGTAGATCCCAGAACGCTCGTAGCGTCCGGGAAACACCGTATGCGGCGGCGCCTCCCCGTCCTTGGGAGCCGGCCGCGCGACCTCAACCGAGTTCTCCTTATCTTCGACCACGTTCATGTCTTCCTGCATCATGCCCCAGGCCTCCTTCCCTATCGCTGCAACCCCTCTATCCACCCCAATGATGTCAGAAATGTGCGCGGCGCGTCCTTTGATCGATAATTCGGTGGCTCAGTTCTTTGTGTTGGGAGTGTAGAGCAGCTGGGCCATGACGGACCGTGGTAGGGTAGGGACGTGTAGGAAAACGTATTGTAAAACGAATATTGTGAATTCATCGGGGGCGTGCTTCAGCTCGTCAATCGGTCACGGCATGGAGTCACGGGTCACGCTCATCACGCTCAAAGTACCTAACGAATGTCCATGAATCTCCACCATGCCATCACACTCCCAAGGAAAGTATGAACAAACGTGCTGTTCCTCCGCACTCGTCACTACATGAATACGTAAGATATCACCCACCATGCTATGGTACGAGTATATCTAATAGCCCCCCTGCTCGTATGCATCGTCATGCTCCGGCAAAATATTAATATTACCCTCACCGTTACCACCATCTCCAAAACAAGAAAAACTCCTTCAAGACAATCAAGAAAAATTCCAACACAACCAATACTACTCCAAAATAATCAATAAAAATCCCAACACAACCAATACCCCTCCAAAATAATCAAGAAAAAAATACCAACACAACCAAAACTCCTACGATCTTCATCGGACTCTCTCTTTACCCTCGGCCCGAAGTTCGCCGTGAACTAGCACGTGCTTGACGTCCTCCTTGCCGTCCGCCGCGCTTCGAACTGCTGGCCAGAACAGCGGGTCCAAATCGGTTGCCCATCCCTCAACGACGTCGTCGTCGTCGCCTCCCCCAGTAGATGCGCCCCCCCCTTCGGGCGCGTCGCGTACTCTCGCCATCGTCACAGTTTCTACCTGGACGGGGTTGTCAACAGACACGGGGAAAAAAGACAAAAAACAATGTTGGCACGCGTGTCGCGGTTGTCGAACGAGACGATCGAGATAAAGCTACCATGTACTTCAAGGACACCGCTTTTTGCTTGGTGGTCCCGGCGGGGGGAACACTGCTGCTGTTTTCTTTTTCATCGCTCTGCCGGGGGAACAAAAAAAATGGACGAGCGGGGGAAGTTTTCGTTTTTCAACGATCCTCCCGGGGTCCAAGCTTTTGATTACTGGCCGGTCGATTTTTGGGGGTCGGGGGATCACAAGGGAGACTACGTTTATCCTGTACAGCAGTGCAGTGAAAGAAGCACGCCACGATTATAGTTGTCCGGTGATTTTCATCACCAGCAACCACGTACAGGAACGTGCCAACCCACCAAGAGAAAAAAAAAGTACCAGGTAGCGGCGCGGTATCAAGCTCAACTCTGGCAGTCTGGTTCGGTCGTGCAAGGCACTGAAGGACGCTAGAGGACAAAAAAATACAAACAGCTTGTCTCCGCCTGCCCTTGAACGACTATTTGGCGCAAGTAGGAGCCTGCCCCGGGCCAGTCTCTCCGCGCCACTCACATGGACATCATCTTTCGCAGGATGAGCATCTTCGCCACGTACTCCCGCCCGGCCTCGACGACATCCGGGCGGTTGTGGCCATCGACGTAGACGCACGTCCCGCTCTTCTTCCACCTGAAGCCGAGTCTGCACATCCAGCTGTGCGCCGTTGTCCGATAGTTGCCTCCTCCGCCGGAAAACACTTCTTTCAGAAGAACAGTGTTCACCCACCTATTTTGCAGTGGAAAGGAAAGCGGTAACAGAAGAGAGTTGGAGAAATTAGCCCACATGTATCCACAACACACGGGCGCACACAAGACGAACACAAAACCAACGCCGTTCAACCCAACAGGAACACTAACCGCGCGCTCTCTCATTTTCACGTCCGTCCCCTTACCTCTGAAAGTCCGAGACACGAAACCGCGGATCCGTTTTCTTCCGGCGGTAAAGCCGCCGGTCGATTTCCTCCCGGCAACGCTCGGCGATGTCCTCATGGTCGATGAAGGAGTCCGCCTGGCTTATCTCGTAAAGTCGTTTTCTGATGAGAAATTGTCTTGGCAGAACTCCTTTACCCACTTGCGCACCGCCTGCGCTGTGGTTTTCACCACATCTCCGACGTCGCGGCTGTGCCGCATCTTGTTGACACCTTCCTCAATCCTGAAGGCAACGACGTCAACATGGGAACGATGAGTGCCTCACACAAGAATATTCTTGAAGCCTTCGGCGTTACGACTCTGAAGAGAGCATGGCAGAAATACAAAACGTACCCCGTGCGCCCGGTCACACATAGAAAGAGGGTCCAAACATGCAACAAACAGATAGTCACCAAACGTACCAGCTACACATGCTACTCGGCAACCACTTCGCCAGGGAACATTGTATGTATGTACAGAGCACGCCACGAACCAGAGGGCAAGGGCGATCTCAAAGAGCAGAAATGCAGCAGCGCGAGCAGCAAGCACACGGCGCTTCTTGGGCGTTTCCGCTTACCCGAGGACAGCGTACGCCCGAATCGCCAAGGCGGTACGCATGATGGACGGGAGACGAGATTCCGTCAGCATTTCCGTCGGGTCCTCCACAATACCGCTGTAGCTGTTGGACTGCTCCGCCTGTACGGAGGTGTGCACAGAAATTGAAATTCAAGCAATCAAAACCGGGAAGGCGTCAGATTGAGGGACATGGTTGTATTCAACAGTTGCAAATTATTATTGACAGACAAGCAGGAGTGGTTTCGGCAGTGGCACTAGCTCCACAACAAATCCAGGATACAGGAAACAGCAGCCACGAGGGAAGCAGTATGCTAGCAGCAAACTAATCAACGGCAACAACACTACCACGCAACACTCTGAAATACATTGCATACTTATTCACCTTGTCGATAGCGTCCACCACTTTCTGGTAGATGTCCAAGAGCTCCTTCTCTCGCGGCGTGTTCTCCCGCCTTCTCTGCGCTTTGAGTGCTCGCTCTCGCGTTTGCTCTCGCGTTTGCTCTCGCGCTCGCTCTCGCGCTTCTCGCTCTCGCGCTCGTTGTTCCGGTGTCTTCTTCCTCTCCTCGCGCCTTCTGTGCTTCAATCGTTTTTTGTTCAACCCCGCAAACCTCCCCTTGGCTCCATCCCCCGACGCCACCCGTGTGCCTCGCCCAGGCCCACTGCATCGGCCGAGTGCCCCGTCTCGTGCGCGGGCGGGGTCGGCGTACAGCCCGTCGAAAAGGTTCGTCCTCGAACTTTTTCGGACGGTCTCACCACTTGTACCGCTAGAGGCTGCGTGCCCGGCTCCTCCCACAGCTGCTGTTTCGCCGGTGTCTCCCACAGCTTCTGCTTCGCCGGTGTCCTGAGGCTGAACATCATCATCAGCCTTGTCGCCGCTCTCTCCGTCAAGTTCGCCGGGGCCGCGAGAGCGGTCGCGGCTTGCGTCTAGTGCGTCGAGAAAACTGTCCTCGCCGCTGGAATAAAGAAGCTCTGCAGCTCTAGCCTGGTCATCCTCACCAAACCAATCTTCCAGCGGAACACCAACACCCGAACATACCAGCATGTCGGTCTCGCTCTCGCTGCTGTCGCCACGGCTGGTGCGGTCATGTTCTTCTTGCGGGCTGCAGATCTTCTCGGCATCATGATCACTGCTGTCCGCACCAACATCTCCCACCTCAACATCCATCTCCACCGCACCTTCAGTCTCCATAATTTGAGGCGAACCATGCTGCCCTTCCTGCTGCTGAGCTGGGGGCTTCAGCCATGCTGCCAAGCTCCCCGCCATCCCGGCGTCCTCCTTGCTCCACCGCGCTCGCCTGTGGCGATGCTGCGTCGACCGGTGGAGAGGTTGCACCGCGTTTTTTCGCGCAGGCGGCGCGACTTCGGGCGCCACCGCCATTGCTGTGCGAGCTGCTGCAGACACCGCAGCGCTCGCTGCAGAGCGAACCGCAGAACCGAACGGCAGTTTCGCCTGCCCGCGAACTGACTCGCCACCCGCATCCTCATCGCGCCAGTCGTCGTCGTGGTCGTTGGTGTGCATGGGAGAAATATTGGCGCCTTCATGGTCGGAAGAGGGAGGAGAGTCGTTGCCTACAGCAGGGTCCGCAGGGGGCGAAGGGGCCTTCCGAATCGTGCCGTCGGCGTTCCTTGGCAGCTTGCGCTTACCCTTTGGGCGATCCATGTGCCCGGAGCGCGTGTGCGTCTTTCGTTGCGTGCGTAAAGGGTGTGTGTGTGTGTGGGTCCTCTGGTGTGTGTGTGGCGGGAAAAAATTCCCCGAGGGCGTGTGAAACCACCCGAAATATCTCCGAAACTCGAGTTTTTTTTTTGAAATCGGAAAACACTCATCGGTGGGAAATCACGAGAGGAATCGATTGCAGCACTTTAGTTTCGAATCGTACGGTTGTATGGTCCCCAAGAAACTAAGCAAAATACCCTCCAATATCCCGTTTTTGCCCATAACTCCGTTATTTCTTGTCGAATTGGAAATCGGAAAAAAATTTCGGTGCCAAATTACGAGAGCTGTCCAAATCCGGTCTCGGATTTTGTGTCTGCAAGAAACAACGCCCTCCAGAAAGTAAGCAAGATTTATTGAATATCTGAACATATCGAGCGAAGGACAGGACCAAAAAAAAAAAAAACTCCGTACGAAGATGCGCCCATGATTCACGGAGCTCCCCGACCTCAGCTGATGCAACAGCAGCAGCAACAGCAGCAAGGGCAGCAGCAACAGCCCCAGCAGCAGCAGCAGCAACTGGGAGTCGGGAGCAATCCGAACCTCTTCTCGCTGTTTCAACAGCTCGTGAATCAGGGCAGTCGCCAGCAACAACAGATTCTGTCTCTCCGGAAGATGGTGGTAAACTTGACCGGCAACCGGCAGCCAGCGCAGGGCGCCGCGGCCCACAACAATGATCAGGGCGGCTCCGCTCCCCACAATAGCCAGTCAGTAGTCCTCCCCCTGGTCCAAGCGCCGCCGCCGCCGCCGCAGCAGCAGCAGCAGCAGCCGCACCAACATCAGCAGCAGCAGCAGCAGCAGCAGCAGCAGCAGCAACAGCAGCAGCAGCAGCAGTAGCAGCAGGAACAACTTCACCAGCAGCAGCAGCCGCCGCAGCCGCAACCACTGCAACACCGGTATCAACACGAACAACTCCAGGCCTACCCCTGCCAGCACTACCACCAGTCGGCCGCGCCCCAGGGTACCAACAGCTCGCGAGCATCCCAGGCGCCGCGCCTGTATACAATGCCCATCGGCTGAAAGAAGCCCAAAAGCTGGAGGGCCGTACGTGGGAAAAGGACGGCCAAGCGGCCCTGTACCTAATGCGAGGCGCTACCTTCTCGCCTATCGTCATGACGGGGGGCGAGTTCGACCACATCATCCGGGACGTGGCCCACCCGCACCCGGGCCTGCACGCGCTGCTTACCTTCAGCGCCATCGACATCGCGGCGTTCTCGCCGCCGCGCCCCCCGGGGGTAGCGGCGGTGACACGCACGTTCGACGTGCATCTCAACACCTTCATTCGCGCCTGGAAGCTTTCATCAAGGACGGCATATCGGGCGCCCCTGCGGCCGGGGCCGACCGAGTTGGCCTGGTTTTCCGGGAACTCTTCAGGATCTCCGAGGACCTCCGCCGGTACTCGTCCCGCCACTGCGCCGAGTTCAAGGGTCCCGAGGCCGACGTCTTCACCAGGTTCAAGCCAGACGCCAACCTCGATTGGGCCGATTTCGTCAGTCGTCTGACCACCGTTTCTAGGGCGCTCCGGCAGCGCAATACCCTCGCCCCCCCACCCCCTAAAACGGTGGGGGCGATCCAAGTCCCGCAGTTCTCAAGGACGTTGGTCCTGATTGCAGAGGGTACGGCTTCTTCGATGGTGGGCCTCCTGCAGGGGGGTCTAGCCCGTCAACAACCGTCCAAACCGTCGTCCGCGAGCACCAAGCGCAAGGCTACTTCGCAGGGTCAACCNCGTAAGGCTACTTCGCAGGGTCAACCTGCACGCACCCCCGTTGCCCCAGTCCCATCCGCTTCCACGGCAGCCGCCACCGCGTTTGCACAGATCGTCGCTGCCTGGCACACTCCCGACAACGAGTGCTTCTACACGTGGTCGGGCACGACCTGCACACGCCCGCAGTGCGAGAAGGGGCACACCCAGCGGCACCCGTCACTCTTGCCTGCTGTTCCTCCCCCCCCCCCCCCTCCGCCCGCTCCGCCCGCTCGTGCCCCCCCTGCCCCGAGAGCGACACAAGCACCAGTCGCGAGGTACAGCCACGGAGGCGGCTCGCGAGGAGGAGCAGCGGGAGGAGGAGGAGGTGGAAGGAGCGCGGGAGGAGGCCGTGGCGGTACCAATCCGTGACGGTGCGGGCCCCACTTCCACTAGGTGGGGCCGACCAGGGGGGGCGGCGAGCTTGGCACGGGAGCGAACGTCTTCGCGGACAGCAGAAGGACAGTAGCGAGCCTGGGAGTTTCCCTTCCCGGGTCGGTGGCACCCGCTGTGTTTTACAGTGAGAGCATGAGTTGCGAACCTGCAATTTCCCATACTGTTAACTGTTTGGATTCGTTTTCGCCTCGCATAGTGGCGGACACCACTCACGCCGAAACGTCAAAAACAATAGCTACGGGGGCGGACACCCTCGGCGCTCAGTACGGGTCAAATAACACACAAGCCGAGGCCACCGCACGGGTGATGAATAAGTCAAAACTATTGGCGGACACCAATCGTGCGAATACTGACACACACCGGGCAGTCACGCGGTGTGAACATGCATTACCCTCACTCTCGCAAATGGTGGACGCCGTTCCCGCGAAAAACTCACTAACGGAATACCTATTGGCGTACACCAATAGCGGGATAAATTACTGCTCTGCCTTGTACACCACGAAGACTGTGGCGGACACCACACGNAGTCACGCGGTGTGAACATGCATTACCCTCACTCTCGCAAATGGTGGACGCCGTTCCCGCGAAAAACTCACTAACGGAATACCTATTGGCGTACACCAATAGCGGGATAAATTACTGCTCTGCCTTGTACACCACGAAGACTGTGGCGGACACCACACGTGCTGAACACTGCAATGCAGTCGCCCCGGGGGCGGACACCCCGGGCGAATGTAATTGGCCCCGCGGCACGCAAGCGGTGGACGCCGCGAGCGTTGTCGGTAAACAAAAAATACTGGCGGACAACAGTAGTGTGCAGAAGGACATCCACAGGCCGGACCCTGTTTAAGAATTTGTCAGTCGCACAGCCTCGATTGGCGGACACCATTCGCGAGAACGACACGGAATTGGCGGACACCATGACCGTGTCAAAAGATCTCCCGGGGGCGGACACCCCGGGGGAAGCACTGTTGGCACGTAGGGCTCTAACGGCGGACACAGCTAGGGCTGCTGACATCACAAAAGTAATGCGACATGATTGCGGGTCGAATTCAGCGACTTCTCACTTTGGGGCGGGGAAAGAACCTTCGGCCCTAGAGAGTCCAAAAAATACAATCTCGTTAAAAAATTCAAAAACTCTGACCGATAGACTCGAGGTACAGAGAAGCATATTGCGGCAAGCATACACTCACTAGACGAGAAGCAATGTATTATTCGGAAGATGGCGGACATTGGTAGTGATAAGAGAATCCTCGTAACCAAGGCTGATGTCACCTCTGCGTTCAGAAATGTGAGGACATCACCAGATCATGCACACAAGTTTTGCTACGTGATAGGAGACGTGCTTGTAGCGGACCTACGGCTGACTTTTGGCTGGGTAGCGTCACCAGGATTGTGGGGTGTGTTAGCCTCCGCTGCAGAGCACTCGCACCTCAACACGTCCCTCGCGAACACTAGACTACTATCAGAAGGAATCGCAATGATGTCCCACGTGAAAAAAAAACCTCCTTGGGAAAAAGGCACCCCAACCCCAATACCATCGTCGGCAGGTGTAAGACCGCATAGAGGCAAGGGACCCGCGGACGATTTCTTGGCCAGGGTCTACGTTGACGATTTCTTGCTCACGAAGGTACAGCATGACCCCACTGACCAATCGGCACTCATTACTTCCGCCTCGCTAGCGTCAGACCATGTCAAACTGTTTGGCAAGGGAGAAGAGAGAAACCCCCATTCTCGCCCCAAAAAAGAGCACTGACTGGGACACGGACATAGAGGCCCTGGGGTACATCATAGACACGCATGATGGCAGAATTGCAACTACACCCGAACGGGTAAGCGCGATTCGGAACATACTAGAGGCAGATTGGCCCCACGATAGGAAGAAGGCCAGCGTTCAAGAAGTTTTCAGCTTTACAGGGAAACGGTGGAACCTCACTTATGTTATCAGGGCTGGTAGGTACTCCGTGTGGCAACTGCTCCGCCTATCGGGTCTGCATACGCAAGCCACACACGGTCACGACGACTTGTGGACTTGGGTAGAGAGTTCCACGGCGATATCGCCTTCTGGAAGTGGGCCCTCAATCAGCCTCGAGCACTTCGAGGGGAGTCCCTCAGCGAATCGTTCCTACTGTACGTAAAACGAGCACCTTCACGGCTTTACCTCTCAAACGATAGCTTCACAGCGATTGGCAGCTACTGTCCCGAACTAAAGACTTTCTGGAGAAACACGATAGAACCATCGTTGTTTGCGGAGCTCAAACGCAAGCCGCAACTGAAGGAGACGACAGACATTACGATCAATCTGTTAGAACTCGCGGGCATGTTCATGACGGCGTGGGTAGTCCAAATGATCGTGACGGACAGACCTATAGAAGAAGGAAAGTCGGTGTTGATGCGTGGAGACAACGTGTCGGCCGTCAGTTGGACTAANTCGAGCACTTCGAGGGGAGTCCCTCAGCGAATCGTTCCTACTGTACGTAAAACGAGCACCTTCACGGCTTTACCTCTCAAACGATAGCTTCACAGCGATTGGCAGCTACTGTCCCGAACTAAAGACTTTCTGGAGAAACACGATAGAACCATCGTTGTTTGCGGAGCTCAAACGCAAGCCGCAACTGAAGGAGACGACAGACATTACGATCAATCTGTTAGAACTCGCGGGCATGTTCATGACGGCGTGGGTAGTCCAAATGATCGTGACGGACAGACCTATAGAAGAAGGAAAGTCGGTGTTGATGCGTGGAGACAACGTGTCGGCCGTCAGTTGGACTAACAGGCGTGGAGGATCGCGGGACAGGCGCGCTAGCCTCATAATGAGACTCATGGGTAGGATGGAAATTTTTTGCGGCGTGTGCCACGTGGCCAAGCACATCCCTGGTCGAAAGAACACACTCGCGGACGGGATCTCACGTTGGTAAGAAAACCACATCGCCGCCAATGTGAAAATGCTCACAAAAGACTCAGGGTGGACACAGCAGGATATTGGAGAAGGGGGACGCGCATTGCTCAGCGTTATCCTACAAAAGACATTGCCAAAAGAAAGTCTGGACGACTCGGTATGGGACATTATGGTCCAAGGAACAGAAAATATCTGTCAACGGCAGCGGGGGCTGTTGGACACCTCTCTGTGTTCCGGACGATCAACGAATTATCAAACGAAATGAGATAGCGAGAAGCTGGAGCGGTGGACACACCTCGCATTCACTGTTTCATGACGCCTTGATCAAATGGATAGCCGGGGGAGGCAGAGTTGGTTTGAACTTCCAAGTTTTCCTGTTCTCCCCTAAAACCAAGTCGGGGGTATCCATGGGCTCGGCAAGAACTTGTCATACCTTAGAAAGGAACGCGAAATGTGGTCAGTCCTCACGCTGTGTATACGTGATGATTGTTTACCAGCAACACAGGGGAGTAGTGGCAAGCGAGGCACGAGTGTCGAGGAAAACCGAAACAATGTTAATGCTGGTATAGCAATCTTGGGAAGTTTGCAACCTGTTTGCCCGATCAAAAAACAATTGAGAGCAAGACGGCATATCACCTGCACTCTCACTTTGCTTCATGTCTTGGTTATTCTTTGGTTGCCTGCAGGAAGAAGAATCCGAAATTCTTGAGCAAACACAAACAAGAAGATTCAGTACGTACTAGATTCTGTGGTTTGGGTAGGCGTGTTGAATCAACGGCTAGAGTTGGGTGAGGGTAAGGGTTAGGGTTAGGGTAAGGGTTAGGGTTAGGGTTAGGGTTAGGGTTAGGGTTAGGGTTAGGGTTAGGGTTAGGGTTAGGGTTAGGGTTAGGGTTAGGGTTAGGGTTAGGGTTAGGGTTAGGG